GAGCCCGAAATAATAGATGAGTTCTTCGGAAGGGGTAAAAAGTAGCATTTCACCAGTTCACTTGAAATGAACTGGAAGTGATTTTGAAGTGTCTATGAAGTAAACTAGTGAACTGGAGACGAAGAACATAGAGATGAGTAAATAAATTAGAGAGACGTTAGCCGATGCATTTTTGCTTAACGTGGAGACAAGCAAAGTTTAAGCGCTAGAGATTAATGAAGGTCAATCTACCTTAAGGCTTGTCCAGTGAATGGCATCCATTCGTTGCTCTTTTTCGAAAAGTTATTGCAATAAAGCTACAAACTAATCTAAAATGGCAACTAGATGATTAAGTAGATTAAACATTTCTCTACAAAATGAAAAGTGTCTCAGCTCTGAACGTTGATTTGTTATAAAAATACAGCTGTTGTACAAACAGCCCCAAAAACAGCAAACAATTTCCTACAAACTGGTATACTTGTTCAATGTTTACCAACTTGTCTTCACTCTTTTAGACACGCTTTTCAGATAGCCCAAAAATCGATTTTTGGGGCTGTTTGTATAACAACTGTATTTTCATAGCAAGTCAACGTTTAGAGCCGAGACACTTTTCATTTTGTAGAGAAATGTTTAATCTACTTAATCATCTAGTTGCCATTTTAGATTAGTTTGTAGCTTTATTGCAATAACTTTTCGAAAAAGAGCAAAAAATGGAGGCTGTTAGCTGGACAAGCCGCTTACATGCATGCAGTAAATAAAACTGAGAGCGGTGCAATAAATAGATTTGTCATACATAAAAAGTCGGAAAAATCCAATCAAATAACAATGTAACAAATTTACTTAGTTATAAGTGACGTGAGTTTCATGTGAAGTGAACTGAACTGAAGCGAAGTGGAGAAGTGGTGCTTTTCCCCCTTGGTTCTTCGTAAAACCAAAGAACTCGATTGTTGAAGAAAAAAATTCATCTGAAGAACTCAAACCGTTCAAGAACGGAAAATAAGTTGAAAACTGAATATTTTTTCTTTACGTTTCAACGAACTAATATTCAGCTAGTTCTCTGAAAGATTGAAGAACAAAGGTTTCTTAACAGTGTGATAAAAAATTTTATTTTATTTTTTCGTAGTTAACCATAAAAAGAAAAAATGAGAAACCTAAATATTTTTCTTAATTAGTCCGCTTGGAAAATAGGAAAGGGAGAAAAGGTTTCTTTCTATTTTGCAAGCAAAGTAGATACCAGTAATTAACACACTCTTATCTTCACACATATTCACAGCATCCAAATGAAAACATGTCCCAAAAAAAATGCAACTCAATGTCTTCTAGCCTTGATTAGAATCTATCCATTACGAACACCCATCGTCGCTGATTTATAAAAACTTCTTTTATGTTGACAAAACATTCCGAGAAATATACAACATCGTCAGCTACAAGATGAAATCCATCGCGAAGCAAGTTAATGATGATTGTAAATAAATTTTCGTCAGTTGCTCCTGTTGTATTAGTCCAGTACCATTCCATGGTTGAACAATAATTAATGGTTTAATTTTTCTAGTTCTTACTCGAGTATTCTAAAATACAGAAAAATATATCATCCTGACACATTTTCCCTTTTAAACGAAGAATAATTTTGTTACTCACCTAAAATGATCTGTTAAACTAATTATTAATATTTCAAGTTGCGGACATGGAGAAGTGATAATAATCAATTAATAATAAATGTTTTTAGCGTAGATAAACTAAATATAATCTCCAACGATTTGGTTCGTTCACTACTGGTTCCGGAATCACCGAGATCAATTTTCAACGTCGTCAGTTGTTTCAATTTTGGTAATTGTTCAATCACATAGCTGAGGACGCTATATCAAAAGCTTTTGATATGCACAATACTTGTAATTGATCAAATTTATCCATGATGTTGTGTTTTACCAATGTTTTTATACTTATTCCTGTTATTGATCAAATATAATGCTCAGTATCTGGTTCCAATACAAATTCAACTATTTATCTGTCTCGATTCTTGTTAAATTTACATGCAGATTTGTTGCACTATGAACCATAGACTAGTCTGAGATTATAGCCGTATAATGCACAGTAAATAACTGTCGCATTCAAATAGTCAAAACAGTTATGGAATAATTTAGATGGTAAACAATTATATTGAAGTAGAGATAAAGAGAACTACTTGTGTAAACAGGATGAACAGGAAGGACATATGTCGTGTCGGTTTTCACTTTTGTCAGAATATTGAATAGTTTTTTGATCTTTTTTCTAAAAGTCTTGAGAAAGTAATGAACATCGAACATTTATATATGAATTATTCTAGAAAAAAAACAACTGTGGCATTAGTAAGTACCAACATACACGATTTTGTGAATCAGGAGAATGAACAAAAATGATGATGAGCATTTTGTAGAACGAAAAGAATGAAACCGGAACATGGCTATTTTCATGATTGATCGATCGATGGAGACAACAGTTAGCACAAATAAAATAACAACTTGAAATATCGACGACAAAAATTTTAACCAGTATGTATAAGATAGATTGGATTTCAGAAACTAATCATGAAGAACTACGAGAACTAGCTCATAAATATTGGAGTGAGCAAATTATTGTTGGAGCTATTGAAGGACGATATTCAATCACATTGGCACTGGCTACTATGACTTTAGAAAAAATTTTCTCAAGTTCATGGCGATTGTGTCATCATTATCTCGGAAAAAAATGACAAATAGAGTTCATCTATTGAAATGTCACTAGAAATAGCAGCAAAGATCCCGGCTTTTTACGAAAAATCTTATCGTTAATATTAACATCGGTGTAAACTAACTTTTTTATTTATCATGTATAAATTGATCCCCGAATGCTTATTTTGTTTTATCAACGGTATCATTGACTCGGTTAGTTTCTAATAAGGAAAGGGAAAATATCTTTCTCATTTTTTATAGGTTCTACTAGATTAGTTACCGCCTTTATTAATTTCACAAAAAAGTCCTAACTGTGCACATTAACTTGAGCCTTTCCGATTTCAAATTTATGTTGCATTTGATCGAATATCATACCATCATCGAATCGTGCCATCATATTATTGTCTAAGTGGCAATATAACATAGAATGATTCCATTAAAAATCTTTTTTCTATGAAATGAGAAGTACAGCTAGATTTATTGGTTTTTTCTTGTTTATCTCAATAAAAAATATTAGTTGAGTCGATAAAGTATTTGTTTATATAACTGATGCAATGATTCATTGCTTACATATTGTTCAGTAAGAAATAAAGGTTTTAAAGCAATTTGATAACCCACGACAATGGATCGATGACCATGAAAAACATGACTTCTGTTGATGACTAACCCTGCAAAAAAGATTTTACTGGCACTTATTTGACACTAATGTGCATCAGTGCTAGAAAGATTTTCAAGTTTCAGACTGATGCGCACCTGTATGGATTAATACTTATTTTATTGGCAGAGGTGCACACCGATGCCAAAAAAGTGCCGACATATTATAAGAAATTTTCTTACTTTATCGACACTCCTGCACAGATGCCAAATTTTTTTTCAATCACCGTTTTATTTTGTCGAGGTCCGTCTACACACACCTCACAGTATACTTGAAATATTTCGAATGTCGTTTTGATTCCATTTCTTCCTTCTCATAAGCGAAGTGCTGAGATAGTGCCGTACGGTCAGGGTACGCCAGTGTAGTACTGGCACATATCAGCGCTGTACTTTAATTAATGCAAAATTAAGGAACTATAATAAAGAAGTGACTAAATAAGTTTCAAGGCGGCACCGATTTTTACCAGTGCAGCATCTTTTTAGTATAAATATATCGGCACTCGCCGGGCACGGATGCGCACCGGTGCCAGTGACCGATGACATGCCATGCACACTGTCAGTGCCATACTAGAATTTTTTTTGTAGGAAGATTATATTACACAATTTTTGGAGGTTTTCTGTGACTTCAAAGGCCTCAAGACATTTCTTATCTGACACTAGAGGTTTACACACTTTTACACTGACATATGCAATGTAGGAATCTGTACAAGGTTTATTTTCTGCTCTTAATACACATTATCCTAGCCATCTCGTAAACAAACACGCAAATATTGTATAGTCTGCATACTTGTCTACCGTCCATATTTTACCCTTCCATCACTATTCGTTCAATTTAGCAACGGATAAATATTTGTTTAAATGAAACGTATTGCAATCAGACTAGACCCTATTTTTTCTATCTAGAAAAAAACGATTTTAGAAAAAATACAGTTTTTTTCGTCCCTAGTAACAGCAGAATTAAACTATTGCGGACAGACAGAAGACTGGCTATGGTGAGAGCATGAAAATGGTTGCCATCTTTGACAAAAAAAAAATGTAACTTGGGTTGATCTGGTTCGATTTTGAATTTAACTTCAAGTAGATCAAGTCTGTCAACAAGGTACTGTTTTTATTCACATCTTGACTGAATCTACCCTATCTTATCAGTTAGATGAATTTTCTCTTTCAAAATATTCACAGGGAGAGTGAAACTGTAGAGAGCAGAAATTACATGCATATTCAATTAGACACTCTGTGAAATAAAAAATAGAACGAGCTCTCTACGTCACTTTTTGGACCCGGATTAAAGTGTCGAAAGTTGTATTAGAGATTATAGTTTGCTTTTGTTTACATCAACTTGAAATAGAACGACTTAATTGAATTGACAAATTGTTGATAAGAATAATTGTTTGCTTATTAACTAAATCATCAATGTTTTTTGTGCTTTAGATACGTCATTCTTTTTGTAAACGAATTTGTTTATTCTCTATTTATATTTGTAATCAATGGAAATAGATTAATTTAAGATTTGCTTGTAAAAATAAAACTTTTCAGCCTGGATAAACTCTGTTAATTATTTGTACGCGTCTGTTTGTAAATTTCTTTGTATTTACTTTCGTTTGTTTTTTTCATTTGTATTCAGTGTGTGTTTTTGTTCGTTATTTTTGTAATCATCATCTATAATATTTCCCATGTTCTGTGATGGACAATCTTCCTAAACGTGTAAAACTAGATGAAGATGATATTGATCGTTCTCCCCGAACACGTTTAATTGAACGTTGGAAAGAACAAGATTTATATATTGACTATTTAGAACAACGTTTAATTAAATTAGAAAATTTGGATGATAAACACCGTGAATTACAAACAAAATTAGATGAAAAAACAAATGAATGTAAAAAAATGAAAGCTATGTTAAATTATCGATTCTTAACAAAAACAACGCAACAACAATCATTGGTAAGTCATTGGCTATCATTTCATATCAGTGTAGAGTGAACCGAATTTTCACTCAAAAAAGATATACTTTCATAGTAAATGTCATATTTCGAGATTAGGTATTTTTTTCTGAGAACGAAATCGATTTCGAAGAATAGTCAGTTGTTAGTATTGTTTTGAAATAGCTTAGAAATAATTAACATTTGTTTCTTTTTTCTTTTTAAAGGATCAATTACGAGATGTTCAAGTGCCAACATTTGCAAAACTTCGTCAAACATATCTTGATCCAGCAATTAATTTGATATTTCAACAAATGCGTGATGAACTTGATTCATGTCGTAAAACACGAGAAGAAGCCCAAAATGAATTACAAGCATGGCAATTTACACCGGACAGGTACAAGAAATAGATAAAACTTTCGTAAAAGAATGTTGAATTCAACTTTCCGCTGACGAATTCTACCATGAAGACAAATTTCCACACGCTTTGTTGACCTTGGACACGCCCAGATGTAAATTGCCTATGATGTTAAAGATAAATCCGTCTAAATGCATTTCTCGATCTCGAACGAACAAGTTTTTTCTAGAAAACATCCACATGCGTTTCGGAGCCTCTGAACTAATTTCAGTTGTAGATGGGGTTAGACACGACAAAAAGAAAGAAAACGCACTCAAACACGCGTCTCACGATCCAGATGCTTTCTCCAAGCTTTAGCACGTTTAGGTGTTGAAAAAATGTTGACCATTCTTTTTCCACGCGTAGTATTTTTAATCGAGATAAAAACGAGATCAAAAGACACATGTGGATGTACTCTTCATCTTCATAATTACTGTTATTATTGTTTACGAACTTAATAATTTAGTTGAGAGATTTTTTTGAACTTTTTTCCTTCGTATTTATCGTAATGATATGTTAACATATCGAAATGTTTAGTTAATATATATTTATTAATAAATATGAAGGAAAAAAGTTCAAAAAAATCTCTCAACTAAACTCTTCATCTTGATTATGAAAAATGTCTCTCGATGTGTTTCAAAAATGAATAGTTTTTGTTAAATTCATCTAAGGCAGACTTTGATAAGGTGAAATAAAACAAAAATTTCAAAGTTTGAAGGAGAAAAGTGCATATTTATAGAAAAAGCTTAATAAGAAATTCTGTGATAGAGATGACTCATCATTCTGATGCATCCATACGTGATTTTCTTTCAGTTTTTTTGTTGTAGATACGTTTCAAAATATAAATTTTTTCTTCAGACGCCTGCGAACGCGTTTTACTCTGATCGAGATGAAAAATCGCGTTTGGACGGCTTCTCAGAGCTATTTTGATCCTCAAAACGCGTTCAGTCGCTTTTTTTCGCAAAATGAAAGAAAAAGGTGTCCGAACGTTCATTTCTATGAGAAAGTTTTACATTAGATGGAATTTTTTGCAATTAATAAAACCCGAGATATAACCACCTTTTTGAGAGAATCTGTTTTTTCTGTAACGAGAATTGTTAATAGCACTCTTAGTCCTATTTGTTTCATTCATCACTTACTCATAATCTAACTGTACTCCTTTTTCTGTTGAAAAGGAGTTAAGGTTCATGCGTTTCTAGTTTCCAAGACGCTTAGTTTCAATGCTGCACTAAAATTTTATTGTTAAACCGAATGAAATGAATAATAAATGTATTACAAGAAAATAGTTTGCACTATTCCTTAAAATAAATAGGCTGGAAGATCGAATCGAAGAGATCCATGTTGTAGCAAAAAGTTTTGGAAACTTTGAACAAAAAGTCAACTTAGAATAATAATAAAAACAATTCTCTTCCAAATAAAGCATCTCCAAATCCTAGATTTTTCAATGAGTAGTAATGATTAATAAAAAAAATACTTCACCACAGTAGAATTTGCTTCAGAAGAAGAAGAAAAAAAAGCGACTGAAAAAGTATGCCATGACCGTCCTATCAGTTTGGTTTCTCAATGGAAGATCTTACAGAGTTCGAAGACGCTTCATTTGGAAGAGAATTATTTTTTTCTCTATTTTGATTGGTACTAAAACTTATTCATGTCACCTCAGAGATTTTTGTTTTTTAGACAACTGAATTTTTAGCTCTAACCGTTAAAAAAAAGAGTTAATTGCTTAGATTTGGGAAACAAAATACTCCTAACGAAATAAAATTGACATAAAAGTTATTGTTAATAATATTCTGTCATAAAGAAGATTAAAGATATTCAATTTGACATGTTTTTATTTGTGTTTTTTTTTTTTTTTTTAGTAAAACTGGTAAAATGTTAATGGCACGATGTAAAAAATTACTCGAAGAAAATGAACAGTTAGGAAAAATGGTATCATCCGATAATATTGCAAAATTAGAAGGTGAAATATCATTACAAAATCGTTTATTAGGTGATATGAAAGATTCACAAAAAGGTTTGTATATGACTCTATTTTCAAAAATTGTCACTATTGGTAATACTATTTTAGATTATGAAGAGATAATGCAAGATATGGATCAAAATATGGATACTATGGCTGGAACATTATTAAATGTAAGACGTCTATTAGCTGAATCACATCGACAAATAATTTATTTAAATGAAGAAAATAGTCGTCTAAAAACATTATGTGAAAAATGTAATATACAATATTTATCATTATCTCAAGATAAATCAACATCAAATGAACATTTAACTCTTAGTACAACTAACGTTAATACGTCATCTACGACAATGATGTCATCACCGACAATTAATGATCTAGATTTTCAAATAATAACAACAACATCAAATGGTATAATAAAACCACCGACAGTTCATAACAGTATTACCAATAATAATAATAATAATAATAATAATAATAATAATAATACTAAACAAACTGATTCGTCATCGACTAATTCTAAATTAAAACGTCATTTACCTAATGTAAGGACTAATACAAAACTAGCACCAGCAAATAAATTTATTTTCCATAATCAAGAACAAAAACTAACAAATAATCTTTACGATAATGATGATTTATCGGCGAATGTAGCAGCTACGATTGCTGGTGATTTGGATCAAACAACTACAATAACAACGACTATTAACGATCAAATGGAGACGAGTAATAACAACGATACAACATCAACAGTGACAGAAATGGATTCTATTACAATCCCAACGATAAACAGTCAAAATTCATTAAATCGTATAATTAGGACTGACCCTATAAAATCACAGATTCTTATGATTACAGAAAATGGTATAATAAATCCTTAACAAAAAAAATAAAAAATAAAAATATTTAAATATATATTTTACAGAAATTAGAGATAGAAACAATTTATTATAATTGAGTGTGTTTTTATTCGAGCGTGTTTGTTGTTGTTTTTCGAATGAATATGTATTTTTGTTACACACAAGACTAGTGAGAAATGGGATTTTTATTCTGTTTTTTTTTTTTTGTTTTTTCTTTTTGTTAGAAGCATATTCAATTACGTCTCGTATGGCTCACTCACATTCTGCATTGTAATCTCTTTCAATGACATTAATGCTTGATTGACCTTACAGTTCGCTTATTGTAAATTAAACTCATGTTTCTTTTACTGACTTAGTATATTCAACAACTCTTCTGTATTATGACAGAATTTTAACTATACTTTTGCTCTCCATCATCTACTTCTAGTCTCTATTTAGAAAGAATCTATTTTTGTTTTTCTTCTTGCAGTACAATCATGTGATAGTTATCAACATAAATCTGTCCCATATTCGATGCGTTTTTGCCTTCGTTGATAAAATATAATGCACAGCTCGATGTTTGGTGTTTTCTCGTGTTTTCTTCTCTTTTCTTTTTTTTTGTCATTTTTGCATAAAGGTATACCCTCGTTTAATGGGCGTCGAGGCGGTTTGAGTAACAAAGTCTAAATGAGGTACATGTATATGTATACACTTTGTATGTTATGTTTTTTGTTTATTTTCATGTCTTTTTAAGCTCAATAGAAATATAAAAAGAAAGTTCTTACCCACTGTAATATGTTCTATCAATGTTTTTTTCTGTTGACCGCCTTTTTTCTGTCTTTTGCGTGTTTTCGTTTCATTGTTATTTGTGTTTTTTTTTTTGTCTAATTCCATGAATCAATTAACATAAACAAGATGTGTATGTAAAGGGTTTACACCAATTTTATCACCAACAATAACAGAATCTGATCTTAGAATAAATAATAGTTTACATTGACCTCCTTAGAAGGCTCAAATATTTCACTCACATGTGGCATCTTCGTTTTTCGCTTACCCCTTCTAGATTCTCCTAGCTATTTTATTAACAGACGATCACAGATCATAACGAGTTTCAGTTATAGATCAAAACTAATCTATATCATTTAATTCTGTTTATTGTAGACATCATCTCTCATTACTCTAGTCATATTTTTAGAAATTACTTCAAAAAATAATTTTAGAGACCATTTAATACTCATTTCTAACTGTTCCTCTTTTTTAAGAAACAAACGTTAGAGAGAGAATATAATACTATTAAGGATTCTCCCTCTCTTTTTTGACCCTCTTGAAAACCGGAGAAGCCGATGTTTGATCGGATTGAAATTCATACCATAGCTAGAACATCGAAAAAAGAACGATCGATGGATTTTTGCCTAGAATTTTCTGACATGTTCTTCTATGAGTTTTCTGAAAAACTCTAATGTTCATCCAGTCACATTATGATCTCTTGAAAAAATGGTTCGATCGAGCTCAAAACTTTACCGCAGATACTTCCGACCCTATCTAAGTTCGTTTTTTTTTCTCTTCGAAACATATGCTTGCTTCTTGAGATTCTAATTCGAAAAATACTAAAAATCCTATATCAACGAATCGATTTTTCATTTTAAAAATCTTCTCACATCCAAAGTTGAAATCGAAAACTCTTCAGAAAAAAATGGGATCTGAAATAGGTTCTAAAATACCTGTGGTAAAAAGTTGAGCTCGATTGGATCATTTTTTCAAGGGGTCGTAATGTGACTGAATTGAAGGGACTATCAAAAAAATGCATAACGTGAAAAACACATTGTACGCAGGGCTGTGTTTTTCAGGGCATTTGCAGCGATACTTATATCTCCATGAAAAAATTCATCGAAAAATTCTAGAAGACATCTCATTTTGAAGAGCACACTTTCTTCTATCACGCTATGAATAAGAAAAAATTTTGAATATATAGGAGAAAGGAGAGAAAAATTTACAAATCTAAAAACTTGAGATTTTCTAGATTTTGAATGAAAAACTTTATAATTTTTCAAAGAAGGTCATGTAGAGCTGGGAATGGTCTCATTTTATAGTCCAGACTTTCCTCTACATTAGACTATGTTCAACTCAAAATGAAAACTTTTCTGCAAAAAAAAGAGGGAAGGGAGTACCCTTACGTTGATGTGATATAAGCTTTATTCTGTCAGAATACAAGCGGAAAAATATTTTAAATATTTAAAAATTTTGCCGCTTGTACTAAGTAGATATGTTTGGTAATGCATTGTGCGTTTTTGAAGTTTTAAAAAAGCATTATTAATGTCAAATTTTTCTAGAATTATTAAGGAAAGTAAAACTTTTAAGCATAATATATTGAAGTAAATTCATTTTACCGTCTATGTAATGTATATATATTTTTTTTCGTCGATCAAATGAAATAGTATTGCACGTCAATTATATCAAAAAAAGAGTAAAACAATATCGATACATAAAAGAAAAAGAAGCAATTAACGTAATGAAAATGATTTTAATTCTGAAAATATTTCTGTAAAATATTTTGGATCTTTATTAATTAATAACATTTTTGAACTCATTCGTTCCATAATTAGAACAACACGTTTCCAAAATAAATCTCGATTATTTTCAATAATAAATGGTTTTAATGGATATGTTATTTCATTTCCCATATATGAAAATGCTAAATATAAACATGTTAATACAATTGATTGTAATTCATAAACAGTAGATACTTGTGAATAGTGTATTATTGATTGAAGTGTTTCTCGAACAATTAAATATACAAATACAACATTAGCTGGATTTATAAATACATCTTCTTGCCATCCTTGAATAATTAATGAACGATCAGCTGATTTTAACCAAAGAATACAATCAGATGGATCTAAATTATTTAGATGAGAACATTGTTGAGATAAATAATCACCAAAACAACGTAATAATTCTGTTGTAGATGCTTGAATTATTGTTTTCTTTGGTATTATACGATCACGTCGTTTCAAACATGAAGAAGATGAGAGAGAACGTTTTGATGATGCAGATGATAATAAAGAAGATGAAGATGAAGTATAAGTAGTTTTAGCATGAATTAATTCTGGTATTGATTTCATTTGTTTATCATTTTCATTCTCAGTATATGGTGATGAAAATGAATATGTTGTTTGTGATGTTTTTTTAATATTATTACCATTACATTTAACATTATTATATTGTGATTGTGATTTTGATAGATGAGAACATTTTACTGATGCCATCGATAGAATACCGATCGAATGACGTTTATTAGACTTTCTGTCATCTAAATATAGAATCAAACAAGTATTGCTGTCTGTAATACGCAGTGAGATTCTTCAGATTTCGGTACATATTCGTTCATTTTCCAATTTTTTACTACTACCAGTACTCATGCATCGATTATGACCGATAAAATTCACTTTTTTTTCTGAAATTGATTCCATGAAAAATACGCATATTCAAATTTTTATAACAACTGAGTTTTGTCGAGCAAACATTTTTCTACAAAATGAGCTATGGAGGAAGCTTTCAGGGTTACTATTTCTACCACAATCGCTTTTCGACGAAGAGCCCTAAATCGGGTATAATCGATCATGGGACTCTTGAGAAATCGTTTTTTTGTGTTTTTTTCTAATTACTAGATCCAAGTCCCATAGCTCATCTTGTAGAAAAATATTTGCTCTACAAAACAGAGTTGTTAGAAAAATTTTAGAGAATCAATTTTCGTTGAGAAAATATGTTTTTTGCAAAAAAAAAAGCGCACAATTTGAATCGGTTATAATTGGAGGATGCCTACACGTTCGTTGTATATGTCTCATGCTCTTTTAACTATCGCTACTGTAGGAGTCGTACATATTTAACATGATGTTAAAATCGTTGAAAATTTCTCTATTATCACATGCGATTACTATTAATTATTTGATAATTACCTGTTTGAGTTTTGTCTGTTCGACGACAGATATCAAATGTTTTCTTATTGACATTGTTATTATTTTCATCATGATTTGTTCTATCCATAAATGGACACTGTTGTTGTTGTTGTTGTTGTTGTTGTGTATCACTTTTAACTTTTACAACAGGTTGACTTTGACTATTCACATTTGAAAGTGGTTTAAGTGAAAATAGACTAAATGATTTTTTAACAAAATGATGTGGCTGTTTATTATTTGTTTGACGTGTATAAGAAGATTTCATTGAATTTTCAAATTCAATAATTGGATTTATAATATTTAATGTATAATTTTGATTTTCTTTATCATCAAACATTGTAAAACGTTGATGTTTATTTTCAATATTTGTTAATTTTTTTTCTCGTAATAATTCATGAAAACTTTGACTATTGTCTATTGTCGGTATCGTACGATCAATTTTTCTTGTTTTTAATGAAAATTTTTTTAATGCAAATGTTTCATTTAATATTTGTAATTGTTTTTTCCATGAACGATTTGTTATTGATGTTGTTGGTGTTCTTGTTGTTGATATTACATCATTGGTAGTTGTAGTAAATTGTTTTAAATTTTCATGATAACTTGTTGAATAATTTTTTGTTGATTTTGATAATGTTTTTGTTGTTGTGGTTGTATAACGATTGGGAGATGTAAATGTCACATTGGTAGTATTCCCCATGGTAAATGAAAAAAATAACCAAACAAAAAAACAAAATAAAAAATACACAAATAAAAGAAATAAAAAATTTTTGAGCAATAAATGAGAATAAAAAAACAAAAATGTTTAACTAGACTAATTACGACTAGTGCACATTTAGATCATAAGAAATAAGAATAATTCTTCCAATTATTATCATTAAATCTGTATCTGACAAATAAAGAGGAAATAAATTATTCAGACATATTTTTTTACCATGATCAATAATATATATACTCAATAATTTCGTTGTTATTAATGAATTCAACTTGACTAGTTCTAAAACATGAATAAAAGAAAAATGAGTGTTCAAATTTTAACCGACATAATTTTCTCATTTAATTCCCCTCTCCAAAAAAAAAATATCGTTAAGAAGAATTTCTGTTTATACTAATTGATGGTGAAAAAAAATAGAAAAAATTGAACTGAATGGTGGCATGACCTTTTTTTTTTCTTTTGTTTTCGTTCAATACTTAATATTTTTGATTCAATTTTCGATTATAATTTATTTTATTCTCTATTCTAAAATTGTCTACGACCTTGTATTGATGTTGTTATCTTGTACACAAGGCAAAATAAGAGAGAGAGAGAGAATAGAAGAAAAATAAATATATATATATATATACATCGTTGTCTGGTGGTCTATAGCAGAGCACTTAATACGATAAGTGCTAATTATAAAGAAAGAGTTAAACTATTTTTTTTGTTTTTTTTTTTTCTTCATCAAACATCTTGAACTTTTTAAAAGAGAAAAATTGATTTGTATATAGATATCTTAATTGAAAAACTTATTTAAACTATGTCGTCGTATACTAACAATAATAGAATAAATTTATGATGATTTCTTCCTGCTCTCTTATAATCAGATCAACTGACATCCGTATCACGATGAGAAGAAGAAGAAAAAAAAATAATAAAAAAACACGATATTTTTTCTATTATTAGTTTATAGATTTTAATATTAGTTTAACAATGCAACAAGGCTCTATATTCAGAACTATTTTTTTTTTAACAATAATATATTTTATTTTTTTTATCATGTTTTACTAATAGAAGTAGTCTAATGTTATAATCTTAGACATGGATGCATGTTTCACTCATTAATTCGATATTATTTAACGATCATCTTTGTAAGAAGAAGAAAAAAAATACATTTTTGAGCTCTAAAACATGCATCGAATTTATTCAACAGAACTAAAGAGAGCCACTTTATCATGTTAAAAGATATATATCCATATTGTGAATAGTTTTTTTATCTGTAAATTGTCTTTTTTTTTTCTTCTATAATCCAAAGTCGTCTCTAAAATTCGTGTCAACAATTCGAATTGAATAAAGAAGTTTATAAATACATTTCTATTGTTGACAACACATTCTTGGGAATGACAACCGTCATATCCTAAGTAGACCATTTTCGTCGTTTTTATTTTTGTGAGAAAAGTATTAGAAAAAGAAAAAATTTCAGATTTAAAAAATCTCGTTAAAATTGATTGGCTCAAAAAAACAAATTCTTTTTTGGAAGAAAATAACGAAGTGCAGTTTGTTATTCTGAGCAATATTACTCATAGATGTGTAATGCAAGATAGAGTCTATCTATATTCATCATCTACTCGTAACAGTACAGCGACATGTGTGTGGTAAAAAGTATTTACTATTAAATTATGCCCTAAAGTCTTACCAGGAAACCTATCCAAGTGATATATTCCAATTTCGTTCGTTCATACGAACGATCGATAGAGGGTATCGAGACAGTAAAAAGCCTAAAAGGATTTTTTCTCATGACTCTTGAAGTCTCAGTTTTCTGGAAAATCAGTTTTTTAGAAACTCTAAAAAATAACTAAAACTTTTCTTAATAAGACATAATTGTAGTCCACAAATTTCTAATTAAAATGAGACATCTTCCAGCTCTACACGACCTTTCTTTGCAAAGTTATAGAATTTACAAGAAAAGCCCTAAATTAATTTCTTTTTTGTAGCTTTAAGCTGACAATGAACATTTAGAGCTTGTCTTGTAAATTCTATAACTTTGCAAAGAAAGGTCGTGTAGAGCTGGAAGATGTCTCATTTTAATTAGAAATTTGCGGACTACAGTCATGTCTCATTAAGAAAGCTTTTGGTTATTTTTTAGAGTTTCTAAAAAACTGATTTTCCAGAAAACTGAGACTTCAGGAGTCATGAGAAAAAATCCTTTTAGGCTTTTTACTGTCTCGATACCCTCTATCGATCGTTCGTATGAACGAACGAAATTGGAATGTATTACTTGGATAGGTTTCCTCGTTAGCACTATTTATTCAAGTTTAATGATTTTACAACATTCTATGAAAATAACAACTAACCTAAGATTCAAAAGTAATTGGACAAATATCGAACATTATTTCTTCATGTTTCTGATGTGTTAGAAAGTTAATTATTTTTTGCGCTGAAAAGAGCACAGTCTGAAGTTTAAAAACTATGAAAAACCAAACGTTTTATAATTGAGTTTGAATGAGAAAAAAGTTTGAATCTCAAATATCATCAAAAAAAGCTCTTGTAATTTCCGTTCTCTACTGACTATCTCTCTCATCAAATGTATCTTTTTTCCTACAACAGAGTACCTTTGAAATTATATAATTATAGAAACCGGAAGTACTTTTATCGTTCTTTCAAATATTGTATAATGAATTATTTTTCGATCCATCTTTCAACCAATAATTATCATAGTTTTAGAAACACAGTTAACTAGACTTAATTAATGATTTTCAGATATTGATCGAGCTTTGATCTTTTTCTAAGGAAAAAAGCTGAAAAGATCCCGTAAAAATTACAGAATGGATCCCGTATACTAAAATTTCGATAAAAATAGTGGAAAATGATCCCGGATTTAGAAAAAAACTATTTTCGACACAATTGATCCCAGAATAAACTAATTTTTATATTTATTGTGCAGAATTGATCCCGGAAAACTTTTTTCTTTCTGCGAACAAGAGAATTGATCCCGGTTGGCGTGTGGTGCGAGTGTAAAGACGGCGTTGAGACATAAACAATAGCAATGTGTAGCGATCACATCTTTTTTCATACTTTTTTCACTCACATCACTTTTGACTATTACTATCACTATTAAACAAACTATGGCTCGAAAGACATGGCTATT